TTCCTCACCAGCTCCTCCTTCAGGATCACTCCTACCCCATTTCTCTTCCTGTCCACACCATAATAAAACAGTTTGTATCCCCCTCCAATGCTATGTGCTTTGCTACCCTTCCACCTGGTCTCCTGCACACACAGTATATCTACCTTCCTTCTCTCCATCATGTCCACCAGCTCTCTCTACCTTTCCCTGTCATTGTGCCAACGTTAAGAGTCCCTATTCTCAGACCTATACTCCTGCCTTTCCTCTTCTCTCTCTGTCTATGAATCCTTCTACCTCCTCTCCTTCTTCGACCAACAGTAGTCCAATTTCCGCCAGCACCCTGTAGGTCAACAGCACTGGTGGCGGTCGTTGTTAACCTGGGCCTCGACCGATCCAGTATGGAATTCGCATTGATGATTCGCATGTTTAAATTTGGCATGTTTTTACGCCGGATGCCATTCCTGACGCAACCCTCTCTATTTATCCAGGCTTGGGACCGGCACAGAAGTCACTGGCTTGCAACCCCTGTGGCTAGATTGATAATAAAAATATGAATGAATAAAAAAACAGGTAGACTGTCAACCACACAGAGGGGAAGAGATACAAGCAAAAGAAGAACTTTGAATGCAGTGCAGTGTTTATTTATGTTCACAGAGAGGTCAAAGGTCAGGCCTGGTGATTCTGTGTTCTGCTCAAAAACACTTCAGCAGTGCTCAACATGCTCTCATTCTGCTACAATGGTTTTGTAGCATTAGCATGTACAGTACCCTCTCGTCTTCATTAATATGAATGCAAAAAGAGAGAAGGGGGCAGGGGGAAGGCTTGCTCTGTCTAATGGTGTGATCAAAGACAAGAGAAGAGCAAAATGTACTGTTCATCTGACTACATTTCTTATTACCAGTGCTGCTAATTCCCATGCTCCAACCCTCTTTATGTGCTTAATTTCACACTCCAAAAACATAAGTTTTTTTAGGCTAGGAACAACAAGAGAGATTAGACAGCCAGAAGATATACAGTATGAACTGGTGGACAAGATAGCACTTTTTAAAAATGGGAGCAAAAAGAGAAAGACAACAGCATAAAACACAGGCAAATAGAGGAAAAGTAAAAAAAAAATGGA